GCCAGGCGCAAGGAGCGTGAGGAGAGGAGGCAGAAGAAGGCCGAGCAGGACGCCAAGCGCGCCCTCTCTACGCCCGCCAAGTCGACCAAGGCCGCCTCATCGACGCCCGCGAAGCTTTCCGAGGCCGACTTTGAGCGCCTTGCCGCCGACGCCGGCATCAGCGTCTCCAAGTTCAAGAGGAAGTTCGAGCGCGGCGATGTCGAGCTCAACAGCGACGGCACCCCCATCGTCTTCAGCAAGAAGGAGCTCAAGAAGCTGCGCAAGTCCGAGGCGGAGACCCCTGACGCTACTCCCGTCAAGGAGACCAAGAAGAAGCGCAAGCACGACGAGGATGACGAAGAGACGCCCAAGAAGGAGAAGAAGTCGAAGAAGAAGCGCCAGTCCCTGGCATAAGTCTCTCTCTCTGCTTGTCTCTTGTTATCCTTGTATGATACCTTGTGGTTTCTTACTTTGTTACGGCCGGCGTTGGAATGGGTTTGGGACGGTTGGCTTACGGTTGCATTGTCTCTCAGATGCTGGCAATTTAAAAAGCATTCAAGTTCCCTGATGTTTGCATGCTACCTGGGATGCATCTCAGACTCGCTTTCGAGGATGCTATTTCGTAGACAGATGTGGAGGTAGTGGGAGTTATTTGATTCATGTTCGTATTTGAAGTCCTGTCAGTGATGCATTGTGAGGCTCTTGTCTACAGAATTAATGCCAGGAAATATCTGGGGGCGCAACCGGCGCAAGGCGATGACCTGGTGGTGCTTCAAGTCGTAGTTCGGCCTGTAATTTTCTCCAAAAATTGGCTTAGGCGCTCGTCACAGTGAACACACCCCACACGTGACACCGCGACGCGACTTCTCGTCACAGGCAATCGCAGCCCATCACACGGGAAGAGCACGCGGCTGGAAGGCCCGTCCGATTTTCTCCCGGCATGGACGACATACAACGCGGCCCAAGGAGAGCTCGACGAGTTGCTCAAAATTCGGCCGCAATCCGAACGCCCGAGGTTGCCACCAGCTCACCAGCCGGGCCTGCAATTGAAGGCGAACCACAGTTCAATGCCGCTCAACGCCTGTTGATGGACTACTATGAAGCACGTGGAACGCCACCGTCACAGAGAGGTAAGAATGTCCTGCATTCGATCCCTTCTGGGCTTGCTGTTTTGGATTTCGAGCCCTGCACCCTCTGTGCCCAACAGACGTTTGACATGGATTTCATGGACGGACCTGGCCCATGCATTCTGTATTCCAGGACGCATACAGTGTTGGGGCGCAAACACTGACCAAAAGTAGTAGTTGGACCGCATCTCACCCCAGAAGGCCTCCCGGCATCATCGCCCTGGCAGACAATGTTCGCCAGCTCAAGACATCCAGGCCAAAGCGGCGCCCCTGAACTCCGCCCACCAGCGCAAGACTTCCCTGATGAGGACGAATACACCAGTCCCGAGGAGAACGGCGAGGACGAAGACATTGGTGACGAGCCTGACGATGATGACGAACTCGGTCATGATCAACTGGAGGATGAACTCGAAGAGCAGCAGGACCCTAATCAGGAGCTGCCCTTCGACCCCGCCTCCCTTGGCCTGAAGGAAATCTCCAACCTGGGCAAGTTCACTGTCAGCAGTCACAAGCCTGGCAGCGGCGTCGAGGAGCTGCGCAGTGATGATACGGAGCAATACTGGCAGTGCGTGCCCTTCCTATTCCATGTTGTGTTCTTTAAATCTAACATGGTGCAGATCCGATGGTCCTCAGCCACACAAGCTGACCGTGTACTTTGTGAAACGGGTCGGCATCAGGGATATCCGCTTCTACGTCGACTACCAGCGGGACGAATCATACACACCCACCAAGATCATCTTCCGGGCCGGCACCAGCGAGAACAACCTCATCGACTTCCACGAGATGTCGCTCACCACGCCCAGCGGCTGGCAGCAGGTCCCCCTCGAAGGCGTTGGTGGCGGTCCTGACGGCAATACTCTTGCATGCTGGGTGTTCCAGATGAAGATTGCAGAGAACCACCAAAATGGTAAAGACACACACCTCAGGGGCATCAAGATCTACGCCGCCAATACGGACACTCGCAGCGCCGATAGGGGCGGTAATCCCATGGCCAGCATGGTTGAGCTGATCGAGAGTGCGGTGCAGAGGCCGCAGGGTGTTGATCAGTACACGGAGGAGGATTCGGACATGAGGATCAACAGACTTGATCGGCGACTTCGGGCACAGAGGCTGGACGCAGGTGAGGGAGATATGGACGTCCCTGACTTTATGCGTGAGCCTCAGATCCGATGAGGGCCGTTGGCGGGCTGGGAGACGTAGACATTGACTTGACGACTGGTATGTTATCATGACTGGAGGTGGGCGAGGCAGACCTGTGGTAAGGAATTAGGGGCACCACCGCAGGTATTGAAGCGTCATGAAATAGATGATATCCTCAAACGAACCCGTTAAGCTTACAGTGAGATTGGTGCGTGTTGGTTTTGGAATACCAGTGGTGAACGATACATCTCGCGCCTGCTCCAACATGACCTAAAAATTCAAATTTTTTAAGACAAAATGATGGCAAGAGCTAATTGGAAACAACACCAGGCAGGTCCTGACTACCAGAGCAATTGCTGATCTTGAGATATATTTGATGGCGTGGAATTGAGGCTTTGCCATGAAAGTTCAAGCAGAAAGAAAATGGCTTGCGATGCGTTTACTGCCTGAATAGCCACCTCCACACGACTGATCTGGAAAGCCCACCTCAATAAATCCTGTATTAGATTCGTTGGAATCAATTTTACGTACCTAATAATACCAGATACTTCATTCTGCCACCTCTTGGACGATTTCAATTTGTGATATCGCCGTTGCCAGTCTTGGACTTCGCCCGCCGTTGATTACCTAATCGCCCCTTCGTCGTCGCGACCGCCACCCATCGCGCAACTACAACCAGAACCTCATCCATCCACCACCACCACTCCCATATCCACTTTCGCCTTACTGGAAGAAAGTGCCCATCATGGCGACAAACGAACCCGAGAACGTTGCTCCGGCAGCGCCCAACAAAGAAGAGACCGCTGAGCAGGCCGACCCAGCTCCCACCCAGAACGGCGACCCGGAGACGCTGCCCGATGCGATTGCTCCACCCCCAGAGCCCAAGGTGCAGACGCGCAAGGACATGTCGCTGCGCGAGTTCCTTACCAAGATGGACGACTATGCTCCAATTGTGAGTCACTACTCCCTCAAATTGATGGAAGGCTCTCTCTAACTTCCGCTTAGGTCCCCGACGCAGTCACAAACTACTACATGACCAAGGCTGGCCTTCCTCCCCCACCACAGACCGACCCGCGCCTCGCGCGCCTTCTGGCGCTCGCAACACAGAAGTTCGTCGCCGACATTGCAGCAGATGCATACCAGTACTCTCGCATCCGCGCGTCCAACACAAACGCCAACAACCCCATGGGCAACCTCGGCGCAGCTGCCGGCTTCCCCATCCCCGGCCAGCAGGCAGGACCCTCGGGCACGAGCGCTAAGGATGCGGGACGTGGAGGACCCCTGGGAATCCAGCGTCCGGGCTACGGCGGCGGCGGCCAAGGTGGAAGCCAGAACCGAACAGTGCTGACCATGGAGGACCTCGGCATGGCGGTGGGCGAGTACGGCGTCAACATCAAGAGGAGCGAGTTCTACCGCTAAACGGGCGTTTCTTATTCATCACGCATTTCAGAGACGGGACATACATTCGGCGGCGTTTCAGGGAAGGGTGGGCACATCCTGGCGAAAGGCGTTGGGAAGTCGTTTTGCTGGCGAAGGAATTACTTGGGGACCATGGGCCGATTATGGCCATGCGTCCCGGCTACTGGGCTAGGATGCAGAATATGAACAAATTGATGATATTGCTGAAACAAAAGGTTTATATTTCTTCTTGATACAGTGGTGACAAGGTGTTGTACAGTCATGCCAGACCCGTGTAGGGTGAACCGTGAACGCCGCGCAAAATGCAACTCGAATCCTGCCTTGGTGGGACTTAACCCTTGGTCCAGATGAAGGGCTTCCGCGTCCTGGTGTATGTTAGTACATTTCGAGAGGTTGCTGACGTCCTGGGGCGCGTACGGTGAGAACTCTCCAAGCTTGTGTCCAACCATCTGCTCGGTGACGGTAAAGTCATTGTACACCTTGCCGTTGTAGACCTGGAACCTCAGGCCGACAAAGTTAGGGAGGATAACAGCGGCGCGAGCTTGTGTCTTGATGGCGGGCATCTTCTTGCCCGGCTGGGGTCGGACAATGGGAAGGCTGGGTTCGGGGGTTAGGTTCGTTACATCTCGAGGTCGTTCGGCGGAGCTTACGGCACAATGTGCGGACCTGTAGACGGACTGGAGTTAGAGGAAGGGAAGTCAATGATGGGGGTGATTTGAGGATACGTACCCTTCCACACAGATCGCTTGAAGAGAGCTTGGGTGGCCTTCATGGTGGCTGGATTGGTCGATCTAGCTCCAGGCTGTCGGTCGGAACGGATGCGCTGAGTTCGCGATGGTTCAACGGGCGGCAGTTTTTCGGTCTGCCCAATTCTGGTCACGTGCATCCGTCGCGCTCCGGGGTCCACACCCGTCTCCGTCCCGCCGTCCCGTCCGCTCCATTCAGTCTCAGCTCCAAGAAGCCCGGCGGACAGAGTCAATCGTTCAGCTGTGTCTTGTGCGAGCAGTCTTATGGTGTATTCTCGTCTGCGCACGTCTCCTGCCATGGAGAGGCCTTTTGCATCAGATGTCTGAAGGGAACCAACAGCGTGGCAGAGGCCTGAAATCGGAGATCAGAGCCCAGAGACAAGAGTGAAAGTCGCTGACCCCAAATGGCTGTCTTTTTAAACTCAGGCTAGACAAATGTTACCTTGTTATGTAGGCTAGTTGGAGATCACACCTCGATTGTCATGAAAGCGCCTGGACAACCTCCAAGAGCGACGCCTTCTCTCGGGCCATCGTGGTTAGCAGCGAGTCATAATCCCAGAAACTGCCCTGTTCTCTAACAACAACCATTGGCGAGGTGGCCGAGTGGTTAAGGCGATAGACTAGAATCTGGCTTCGGCCTCTTTCCAGACAATCTATTGGGTTCGCCCGCGTAGGTTCAAATCCTGCCCTCGTCGCGTAATTTGTACAGACGCATCCAGCTCAGCTGGGTACATCAACCATCTTTTTTTGCCCTTTTTCTCATTTCGGGTGCGCCACGGAAGCGGGGTTTCTGGGCTGTGCTCATCTTGAGGCCGTGCTTCTAGAACCCTGGGGAATCTGCTTTGCCCAAAAGACTGTACAGGAACGTGGCCTTTCCCGTGTCGCAATTTCGCGGTGGGGGCAAATCGCCATCGGAGAAAGGGTTTTTGCGGCGCAAATGCCCGCTGACAGGCAGTGAATTGAGGAGGTGGCGCGCCCGCAACCAGCCCGCAGCGACCCGGTGAGCTACGACAGCGGGCGTGGCTGCTTCTCCAAAACTTCCCCTGCGTCCTTATAATCTGCAATCCAGCACCTAACAAGACCCCTTGCCGATTCCTTCCCCCCCCGCCAGCGTCTTCGACTTTAGGTCTCATCTTCTTCCAACCTTTTTAATTCAATCGTCGTTCACCGTCGCCAAAATGGTCAGCCCCCAGATGTACGTCTGCAACCATTCCCCATCCTGATCCGCGACGCCCCTGCCGGCGCATCGTGATATTTTGATCTGGAATCATGGCTGACAACTTGTCAACATTACAGCACCAACCTGGTCATCATGCTTGGCATGATCCAGGTCTCTCGCAAGGTCGACTTTGAGAACCCCGATGTCCTCATGGGCTGCCGCGCTGCCTACATCGGCAGCAACCTTCTGATCGCCCTGGTCTACATCTTCATCCAGTTCAAGATCAACGGAAAGAAGGGTATGTGTGCTGCGCCAGTGGCTTCGCGATAAGAGGACCGCAAACAGGGATCATCGACTAACAAACACCACAGACATGACGACCCTCAAGTACGTCGAGCCCGCCCCCGTTGGCTCCTCCGAGGAGCCCAAGCTCGTCACCACCACCATCCACGCCTACGACTCGAGCCAGCTCAAGCAGCTCTTCCGCTCCCAGGCCATGGGTGTCGCCATGATGGCCTTCATGCACCTGTACATGAAGTACACCAACCCCCTCCTCGTCCAGTCCATCATCCCCCTCAAGAGCGCCCTCGAGAGCAACCTGGCCAAGATCCATATCTTCGGCCAGCCCGCCTCCGGCGAGCTCAAGCGCCCCTTCAAGGCCGCCGCCGGCTTCATGAGCAGCCTCCAGGGCGGCGGTGTCCAGTCCGACAAGAAGTCCGTCGAGGCCGCCGAGCGTGCCGGCCGTGGTGGCGCCAAGGAAGAGTAAATGTACACATACTCTGCCATCTTTGAAATACTGGACGGGAAGGCGGAAGAGGTGCGGCACTGTTTTCCGGTGCTGCGCTTTGTTTGTCCGTGGAATTTGGGCTCTTGCCGACTTGGGTGCCCGGCTGGGCCATGGTCGGGAAGGACTTCAAACGTGATGGCTTGGGAACCATAGACTTGGAGGACCAGGTTGCAAAACAGAGCGCCGGGGCGTTTGATGAAGCCGTTTGCATTAAAACAATGCCAACATTATGCCATCCTTGCTATCACTCGTTGTGTCGTGTTCCATGGGCGGGTGTCGCCTCCAGCATCTCTGTGTCTGCAAAACCACTTTCGATCGGCACGTGCTTTCGCGCTTCGCCTCTGACATAATCGACACGGACGATGCGTCAACCGCCGCGCCCGGAAAGTTGCCCCTCCACCGGTGCAAACCGCCACTCTTCTGTGCAACATTTTGCTCTCCCAACATCTTCAAATTCAAGAAACCGCATCCTGCCGCACCATGGAGCGTCCTAAAACACCGCCAACCCAACGGGCGACACGATCAACACGGGCACGAACGCCTCCCACTCCCGAAGTGACAAGACGAATAGTAAGTCCCCCATGACGCAGTCACTCCCAGTCTCAATCCTCACCAGACTCCCCTTCCCAGGAAGAGAACCGCCTCAAGGCCAAAGCCCTGCGCGACCAACATGAAGCCGCCCGCCGCGCTGCCGGCGCTCCCGAGCTAGACAAGACCTCGTCAGGCTTCGTCGCCACCGACACCGTTCACATCCCCAACACCCGCAAACGCGCACATGCCGCCATCTCGACGTCCCAACCGGCATCGTCCGGGGCAGCACCCCCAGGGGATAAGATGCCAACCTCGAATCGGGACGGCCGCGTCAAGACGGGCGAGGAAGCGCCGCTCCGGGCCGCAAAGTCGTTCGCCAAGTTTGTCGACTACGACATGTCCGCCATGACCGACACCCGCGGCGGCTTCCTCTCCACGGAAGACGACCCAAACAACTCAGCCCTCGGAGGTCCCCGTACCAAGCCCGGCGAGCAACCATCATCCGAGGGCCGCCCACAAGGCATGACAGCCGAAGAATGGCAGCGCCTCCAGACCCTTCGACGCCTCGAACGCACAAAAGCCGGCCCCTTCGAACCCTCCCTCTCCGTCCTGCGCGACGCCTCAGAACGCGCCGTCAAAAAGTGCCGCGAGTGCGCATCCCCCGAAATCGACTTTGTCTGGGTCGAAGTCTTCCGCATCTACGTCTGCGCCGCCTGCAAGGAACGTTATCCAGACAAGTACTCTCTCCTCACAAAGACCGAGTGTCGAGAAGATTATCTCCTCACCGAGCCTGAGCTGCGCGACGCCGACCTGCTACCGCACTTGAGCCGCCCGAATCCGCACAAGAGCCACTGGCACGACATGATGCTTTTCCTGCGGTGCCAGGTCGAGGACTATGCTTTTCACACGAAATGGGGCAGTTCCGAGGCTCTTGATGCGGAGTTTGAGAAGCGGCAGGATGAGAAGCGCGCTCGGAAGGATAAGAAGTTCCGCGAGAAGTTGACGGACTTGAAGCGCAAGACGCGCACAGAGGCGTTCCGCAGGCAGGCGGCGGCGAGTAAGAGCGGCGGTGGCGGGCCGGCGAATTTCGGTGATGCTGTCGGTAACGGGAGGCATGTGCATGAATGGGGCCGAGCCATCGAGAACGAGGAGGGCATGACTGTGAAAACGTGCACGGGATGCGGGATGGAGGTTGAAGAGCTAGAGTTCTGATATCTCGGGGATGAAGCGTTTATGATACCATGTTCAAGATTTACACAGCGAGCGAACACATTCACAAGTTACACTTTGTACCACAAATGTCAAGAAAACAGCTCCGATAAGCATGCCCATGGGTGTCAGGCATGTTGAATCACAGCCATGGAGTTTACATATTACAAGAACCGGATCCCTCTGGCGACCCCCCTCAATTTGAGACGCCCGCACAGCCAGGCCAGTTCCGCAAGTCAAGCCATCCATCCATCCAACCCCTATGAAATCCTTCCTAGTCCGTTGAAGCCATGGCTTCCTTCTACAGCCCCAAAGCCTCTTCTTCCCCCCTGTTACTTCATACAAGTCGTAGCTAGATCGACATCTGGCCACTCGCCGTGGAGGTGCCAGTTTGGCGAGTCCACGTTGCTCTAACGCGCAAACACCTTGACCATTCCGTCACCGCCACCACTGACAACCCATTTGCCGTCCTGGCTCCAGACGACGGAGCACACGCCCTCGCCACGCATGATACGGTGGCTCGTGATCTCCTGCGTGCAGGACCGCTTCTCGAGGCTCCAGAACCGAAGACTGGCGTCATGGCCAGCGCTGACGAGCTCCTGGCCGTCGGGGCTCAAGGAAAGACTTGAGATGGCTGCCGGGTGGGCGAGCATGTTGTATGTACATTGACCTAGATATGTCAGTTGTAAATTCTTGAAGTAAGGCAGGCTGTTTTGCTTACCGCTGTTGGCGTCGAAGAACCGGACAAACCGATCTTCGTGTCCGGAGATGATGACGCCCTCGACGCCAGAGCCCGCCATAGAACGGCCGCCACCGGTGGGCCCTCCTGTTGTTGTTGCGTCCTCTTCCGACAGGCTGCCTGCGTGTTGGCCCTGGTCCAGACCGACGGTGGTGGCGACAACAGCGTTGACAGCAGTGTTCACCGAGCCGTCGTACGTCTCGAGGCTGTCCATGGTACCAATCTGTTCGCCGGACCGGGTGTCGTACACGATGATGGATGCGTCCGAGTAGGAGACGACGAAAGACTCTCCCGAGGGGCTGAGAGGCGAGATACATGTGGGCGTAGCCGTGGATCCCTCGGGCCGGGAGATGCTGTGAACGAGAGTGTGGTTGAATGGCGAGTTGGAGGCGATGGTCGGCTGGGGCGAGTTGGGGAAAGCGCTGCCCGAGCTCATCGAGTTACCACGGACTCTTCCCCTGGCTCCAGGGGGTCCGCCTCTCGTGGCACCAGGTTGCGGCGACGTGAGCTGGGGCGGTGCGCTGACAGCCCAGAGCTTCACAGTACCATCGGCACCACCAGAGATGACGAGGATCCTATCGGGCGTGCCGTAGGGGCTGGACGCTCCAAACACAGAGCCGAGGGTTGCGGGAAGAACGCAGATGGCCCATACAGCATCGGTGTGTCCATCGAGGGTGGCCTTGGGGTCCACGCGGCCGCGCTCCCACACCCTAATGGTGGCATCCTGTCCACCAGAGAAGATCCAGCCGTCGCCCTGAGCCCTGCCGCCGGTAGAGAAGTTGGGCGAAGGCCACCAGGAGGTCAGGCAGAGTACTGCACCAGAGTGGCCTCGGTGAGTGAAGTTCGCCATGACGTCAAGGTCGGAGGCCCCGCTGCCCATGGGGCTGTCGAATCTCGGGATGTGGAAGCGCTTGATCATACCGTCGTCGCCGGCGGTGCAGATCTCGGGTTCGCCAGGACTACCGCCGCCGGAGAAAATGACCGTCCGCACCGTGTTGAGATGACCTCGCAGGCCGAAACGTAACCTAAAGTTGCCGCCGTCGACCTTTTGCGCCAGGGAGGAGAGGGAGAGCTCATGCTCAGCGCTCCGGCGCCTCGACATGGAGCCCTTCCTCCGGTGCGAATTGGGAGCTCTCGTGGGAGATTTCGGCGGGTTCTCGGCGTTGGGGAAGACATCTGTATCGGGGCGCGTGGAAATGGCAGTCTGCGGCGTGGCCGGTGGTGGGTTTGAGTCTGAGCCGGCACCTTCAGGGAACTCCCACCCGTCCAG